GAGTTGTGGATTTTGATATACTTTATTTATACTCAAATATAATCAAATCTGCAACTTAGTCTTTCTGTCATTCTGCTGATCACTTCTGACTGCAGGTTTTGCTCATTGATCTCACTGTAGACTTATTTGGACCTGCCATGTACTAATAAAAGATTACAGGGCAGTATTCAATGTATGAAATTTAGGGCTAGCATATTCTGTAGATCTCTGGATCAGGGTACAGAGTGTAAACATAATTTACAATCTAAACGCTCCTTAACCCAGCTCACATTGAGGGGATATTTGGAGATCTTACTGAAATGTACTAAAATCTGTAATATTAGAAATACTCAGATCTCTTCCATGTCTAGACATACTCTTTTCCATGATGTGTCACTTTTTCATATGTATTATACTCAGAGGAGGTCAGAGTGAAAAAAACTGCTCCCATGTTTTCTTATTATAGGTAAATGGAAGGTTCAGATGTCCGGTATTAATGAATTCTCAGATGTAATCACTAGCAGTATAGTCTATGGTGGCTATGTCTTCAACTCACTTTTAGATGGACCATAGAGAAACACAGAGGGTGCCTTTATTTCAATGTTGAATGAAAACATTAGTTCCTGTAAGTTTTTTTAATAAATAAAGTTCTTGGTATCATTTTTAATCATTTTATCCATTATAAAAAGTCACAATCTTAAGTGTTCTGAGTGTAAAGACAATACGCCCACACCTGCTATATATTTATAATCTGCATATTTTTTATATGGTATATTAAAACTGAACTTCTGCATATGTGTTTACTAAAACTTTGTATTGGTAATTTATTTATTTGTTATTTTTCAGAAAATGTTCAGCACCCAAACAATGTGATCCAAGGTAGTCTGTCAACCTTTTTACCCCAGAAGAACCTTAGCAATAATTTTAGGCCTCAGGGAACTCAACTAAAACTATATGTCCAATTCCCAATATACTAGTGTTTTCAGTGGGAGCGGTGACCTCCTACGATAATGGTCAGTAGTGAAGGGCCCCCTACATTCGTGGTCAGTGACATGCATATATGGTCAGTTGAAGAAAGCCCCCTTTACATAGGCCACCTGTGGAAGAAGACCTCCCGTGCATTAGTGCTCAGAGGAAGATGTGTCTACATTGAGGATCAGTGGAAAGAATACAGCTTACATGGGG